CGTCACGTGGCCACATCTTTACCACCTGTCGTCACGTGGCCACACATTTACCGATCTGTCGTCAAACCTTTCCCAATCTGTCGTCACGTGGCCACATCTTTACCCACCTGTCATCACGTGGCCACATCTTTACCCATCTGTCGTCACGTGGCCACACCTTTACCCATCTGTCGTCACGTGGCCACACCTTTACCCATCTGTCGTCACATGGCCACATCTTTACCCATCTGTCGTCACGTGGCCACATCTTTACCCATCTGCCGACACGTGGCCACATATTTACCCATCCGTCAACACACCTGTAACCATCTGTCGTCACGTGGCCACATCTTTACCCATCTGTGGCCACATCTTTACCCATCTGTCGTCACGTGGCCACATCTTTACCCACCTGTCGTCACACCTTTACCGATCTGTAGTAACATAGCGTCACATCTTTACCAATCTGTCGTCACATGGAGTCACATCTTTACCCTTCCATCATCAAATCTTTACCCATCCGTCGTCACATCTTTACCCATCTGTCGTCACATCGCGTCCCATCTTTACCCATCCGTCGTCACATCTTTATCCATCTGTCGTCACATCTTCATCCATCTGTCGTCACATCTTTACCCATCTGTCGTCACATCTTTACCCATCTGTCGTCACATCTTTACCCATCCGTCGTCACATCTTTACCCATCCGTCGTCACAGCTTTACCCATCCGTCGTCACATCTTTACCCATCTGTCGTCACATGGCGTCCAATCTTTACCTATCCGTCGTCCAATCTTTACCCATCCGTCGTCACATCTTTACCCATCTGTCGTCACATCTTTACCCATCTGTCGTCACATCTTTACCCATCTGTCGTCACATCTTTACCCATCTGTCGTCACATCTTTACCCATCTGTCGTCACATCTTTACCCATCTGTCGTCACATCTTAACCCATCTGTCGTCACATGGCGTAACATTTTAACCCATCTGTCGTCACATGGCATAACATCTGTACCCATCTGTCGTCACATGGCATAACATCTGTACCCATCTGTCGTCACATCTTTACCCATCTGTCGTCACATGGCGTCCCATCTTTACCCATCTGTCGACACATGGCATAACATCTTTACCCATCCGTCGTCACATATTTACCCATCCGTCGTCACATCTTTACCCATCTGTCATCACATCTTTACCCATCTGTCGTCACATGGCGTAACATCTTTACCCATCTGCCGCCACATGGCGTCCCATCTTTACACTCCTGTCGTCCCATCTTTACACACTGATCGTTTCATCTTCACCCTTCTAGCTTCCAAGTTTTACCCTCCCGTCCTAGCTTTCATGAAGAGCGACCCGGGTTCGACTCCAACACTGGAACCATACGCAAAATCATTCTGAGTATCTCGTCGTGGCATGATTAGACCACTGGTTACATTGGCTCAAACTCAATTCACTCACTCACCTTGCATCCCAACAGGGACCATTTACCGGGTAAGGTACAATGTATGTTGGTTAAGTAACCTCTCTCTCTATCTCTCACTCACTCAGTCGAGTCTGCATGTCCTGATTGAGAACATGTGGCTGTCGACCTTGGCTCTGGGCGGTGTCACAGAGCTGTGTGATCTGGTAAATATACTAAACAGCAAAAGAAACGCAAGTCTGGCTTTTTGTCAAGTTTTTGAATAGAAGACAACCCAAATTATGTCTAATCATTTATTCTATAGAAAACACTGTCAATGTAACAGCTAAAAGTTGCTGTTGAGATTGAATTACAATAAGATCAAATTGATCACAGTCCGTCAAATGGAGATACCCCTGAACGCGAAAAGTGACAGTTCCTTTAGTAGCGCGTATAGCCACCTTGAGCTTGCACACAGACCGTGCAACGTGGCCTAATTGAGTTCACTAGAGTCTGAAAGAATGCCTGATGCAACTGGTTCCGCTCAAACACCAATTTCTAATCCAGTTGTGCAAGTGTGAGTGTCTGTCTACCTGCAGCAATCCTCCGTCCAATTTCGTCCCAGAATGTTCAATGGGAGCCATATCCGGGGAAAGAGACGTTAATGTTGTTCTGAGCCAGATAATCCATCGACACCCTTGCTGTGTGAGGGCTGCAAACGTCGCTGGCGTTGTTGACGTGCCAAAATTGGCCCCACATATGGCCTTCGGTAGTGGCTTCCAGCAGCCCGAAGACGACGCCTAATCATATCGCTTGGCACTGCTCCCCTTGACCCAAGAACTAAGGCTGCTGTTATTGTTGGTGCTTGAGTTCGGTTCCTTAGATGAGTGACCCGGATGAACCGATCTTGCGCATGAGTTGCCGTCCGGTACGGGGACGATCAGCAGCAACCCGCTTTGCTGATGACGTTGAGCAAGTCGTGTAATGGTGTTAAGATGACAGCCCAATTGTCTAGCTACAGCGGTTGCAGTGCTACCTCCGTGTAACTTTCCAATGGCCATTCCCCTCTGCTCAGTCGTTAGTCTAGGCGTCGTTTGTGTGGCGTGTACACCTCCTAGCGTCAATACTGAACTGTTTTTTGACACACACCTTTATAAAGGATACCTCAGAGTGAAATGCATGCTTTTCATCCATAACCGTCGATGCACGTGCTAAAATTATGGTTTTGCTGCACTGTTGGTGTGTTTGTGCGAATGTTTCGTATGGACGTCAAATTGCATGACATCATCTCATCTGGGATCATTACGTCACTTTACTATGAACGTTCCATAAACATGAACGCTTACCTTCATGAGATTTCATTTTTTCGAAACTTGCGTTTCTTTTGCTGTTCAGTATATGTTTAAGTATGTATAATCATTAAGAGATAAGAGATCAGCGAACTGTGTGGGTGATGTGTTCATCCTGTTCCATATAACGATGTTCATGTCTGAACATTAAGGTAACCTTTGACGGCTAAATCGAAAAGACATATCTTTGTCTTGGACTACATAGGCACAATGTGTACTACACAGGCACATACAAATTAAGAGACGTGCAGCATTCATTATAAAGATAAGCGCGCGACGGAGCTTGGTGCACGTGCAAAGGCGATGGAAAACATATCCACGTGCAGCACGTAAGACCGACAGCACAATTTATGTCCAAAACCTCCTGGTAACTGTTGATCGCTACATGGCCTCGGATCTCAGGAATAGAGATCTTGTTTTCATTCCCTGTTCGCAGCGAGCGACACACTCTGCCCCTGGTGACATTTCACACTGTTGATCATGGGCAGGGCAACAATCTTGTGACGTTAGGCAAACAAACACTTACATTCTTATGCAAATTATGTGAACGGCAGGTGCTACCAACAGAGCAGGGTGCCTAGTATCACCACTGGCATAGGTTTGAGGAAGATAATCGAGAATGTCCGACCTCACACCGACAGCCGCAGAGCAACGGCAACACCACCACAGTCAATCATGCTTTAACACCTGGCCCACAGTCGCAGAGCGACTTGTTGACCACTATCCGAAGTGGCATTATTGTACGTCACTTGATGACCACTATCCGAAGTGACATTATTGTACGTCACTTGTTGACCACTATCCGAAGTGGCATTATTGTACGTCACTTGTTGACCACTATCCGAAGTGACATTATTGTACGTCACTTGTTGACCACTATCCGAAGTGACATTATTGTACGTCACTTGTTGACCACTATCCGAAGAGTCAGTATTGTACGTCACATGTTGACCACTGTCAGAAGAGTCAGTATTGTACGTCACGTGTTGACCACTGTCAGAAGAGTCAGTATTGTACGTCACGTGTTGACCACTGTCAGAAGAGTCAGTATTGTACGTCACGTGTTGACCACTGTCAGAAGAGTCAGTATTGTACGTCACGTGTTGACCACTGTCAGAAGAGTCAGTATTGTACGTCACGTGTTGACCACTGTCAGAAGTGACACTAGTAATACTACAGGGTTCTGCTCCGTTCCCACATGTTCCACTCATGTTTGTTTGTTGTTTGTTTATTAAAGTCGCACTCACCAATTTTCCAGCTGTATAACGGCAGTCTGTAAGACTCGACTGTAGACCAGACAATCCACCGCTTGACACCTTAGCAACTATATACTCAGTGAAGATACGATGACATGCATCCACCAAGCCAGCCAAACTGACCATCCAATCCCCTTAGTCGCCTCTTAGGACAAGCATGGGTTGTTATAGACCAATTCTAAACCGGATCGTCACTGGTGTTTCAACTCATGAGTTCACTACGTTCACGAGTAGCAGTTATGTATGAATAAGGCGCGGGGCAAATATAGCAAAACATCATTCCTGTGCATTCGGAACGTACTCAAGAATAAAAACAAATACAAATGTAACTGTTTGCATATTCGAAGAGAAAGACATACCTTCATTTGGTGACACTCTTCACCAATCATGATGTTGTTGAGCACATATTATTCTTATAAAGATTTAAGCGACCGTATTATTTACAACAATAATTCCTGTATGACATTGGCTGATCTGGGGTAATATTTGCGCTGCGTCACCTTAATGATGCATAAAGACGGATTGTTTTCGCTACTATTGAAGGCGGTGGTGTAGCGTTCGCTCGTCGCGCTGAAGATCCCGGTTCAATTCCCCACATAGGTATAATGTGTGAAGCCCATTTCGTGTGTCCCACTCCGCGATATTGCTGGAATATTGCTAAAAGCGGCGAAAACCATATTCACTCACTACTATTAATGAACTGGCATTTATACGACCTGTTACATACAGCAGCAGCAGCAGCAGTAGTAGTAGTAGTAGTAGTAGCAGTAGTAGTAGTAGCAGCAGTAGTAGTAGTAGTAGCAGTAGTAGTAGTAGTGTTTGAAATAGTATGTTTCTTATAAAACGGACCATGTTCAGATATATATATTTATGATTAACTAAACAAAATTACTTGGGTGTGACCGTGTGTATACTATACGTTTTAAAATTTAAGCAACAATATCCACGATTAAACTTGGCTTGGTTCAATGTGTCAATTTGATTCACCTGCTTGCCACCCGTGAGACAAAAACACGGACTTATCGTGCCCAGTTTCTGCAGGCGCACGTGTTACGTGGTGTCTATAAAAGACATGAACGAACAATGGCGGGCGTCCACTCTCACAAATTTGACGAGTTGAGCTGAGAGCTACCTTTCGGGTACGTTATCATTTCTACTTTTCATCTGAACAGTAGATATTTTGTAGGAATATTATATCATTTCATTGAAATGAACACTATGTAAGAGTCGTGTGTGGAATCTAGTACATGGAACAGTGAATGAAAACTGCACACTTGTAAGTCGTTTTTAATTTTACCAGCTGAATCTAGGTGTGATACACGAGCTTTGATAATCGCTGCTACCATAAACTGAATTGTAGCATTTACATACATTTCCTTATTTCAAAAATAGGTATTTTTCAACACGTCGGTTTGTCTGACTGACTGATGTGTATAACCTACTCCTTTCCCATGTGAACTTCTCCTTGATTGAATGGTTTACATGAAGATTAGTTCAATGTTCAGTTGAACAATGTTGAAAAGGCAGAGAAAATGATTTTTAGACCACAGAATTCACATCAGCATTATTTGTCAAGTGTCATTACTATGTCAAATTATTGCCAGATAACTGTATTTTAAGCATTGATTATTTTATACCAGGAATGTCCGCTTTCGGAGTAATAAATCTAGACTATAATCTACACCGGTCGGTGCAGAAACGCAAGCCTGGGGGAATCAGTGCCGGCGAGAATCGGGACTTTCAGCAACATACCATGAACAACATCGTGAAGCGCAAGAAGACCGTCTTCTTCCCAGCCTCGGGGGTCTGCTCAGCTCAACACGTCCAAACGGCAATCAAGCAACATGTAACCGAAGTTCGTTTTTTCCTTTTTGCTTTTACTGAGCCCCAACATCCTCGGTAATCGTACATGACATCGTACGCCTGGCTGAGGTGACGTATCTGTCATACGGCATCATTTATACTATCAGCTGTTGCGATAAACAGTGGGTCTCCGCTACCGTGTTAGAATGGGTCTCAGTAACTCCTGCTTGTCGCAAGATGCTGCCAGATTGATGAGATAGTCAAATATGGTCAGGGCTAATGATCATTATGTTCCGATGGTGCGGATCGCTCACAATATGGATCTATGGTTTGTCTGGCCCAGACCTAGGCCGCTGTCATATAGCTGGAATAGTGCTCACTTCGGCGTTCAGAGAGAATCATATGTATTTATGCGATTGTGTGGCCGGAAGATTCCCCTTGCGAATAAAATATCTTCGCAGATTTATCAATGCAGACATGTACTTGTCAAATTATGAGAATCTGACACAAGCTATTGTAATGACGTCAGTGAGGTAATTTTAGGAACGCCGTGTACTCAGCGACAACAGCAACATCTCGCACAGCACAGCAGGCGCCCCCAAACCGATGGTGCAGTGTACGGAATACCCCAAAGTTGCCAAGGCGAGGCCGGCATTTCGTGTAACTCCGGGTAAGTAGGATATAGACTGGCCTCCGCTATTAATATTTCAATGACTAAACCCTGGTCTGTCGATCCTGCATCAGGAAAACAATCCAAACAAAATGATAAGCAACGACAAACTCAATTCGTCCTGGGAACCTCTGTGATCCCAGTTTAACAATGGTAGCAGATTCACATTTGGTCACATTCCAGTGCATACCCAATTCTGAACTATAAGAAAATGTCCCTTATAGATTACTGACTTGTTAGCACCTATAACCCGATCATAAACAGGCCTCCAAATATGGCTTTCTTAAAACATTGTCTCGGCTAACGACTATAGTGTTATCGCTGCAGTGAACCGATCACATGAATGTCCAAATAGTATCCCATCAGGAAGCAGTTTCGTGCAATACCTCAATGCAATGGCTTGTTTCACTGTTGATTGTTGACACACGGTCGTCATAGGCATGGACACAGTGTGGAACATGGGCGAGTGGTTGTACACTACTACATGATATGTGGGGCTGCCCTGTATTCATTCTTAATGAAGTAACTTGTAGAAACTGCGAAACTTCATCTTAAACCCCAGTATTTTACGAATGACCTACGATAGGATAGTAGATATAGTGTTTACTTATTGTAGATGCACTACAGACATGATAAACAGATAAACATGGGTCACTGTTGGTTGCCAGGTAACCAAGGATGTCGGAAAGTCAAGAAACACAGGCTCAGTACCAAGAAGAAACTCTGCATCAATGGACCAGAGCGTGTCGTTCCTTTTGGTAAGAAGCTCGCTTTCCAGTTCGTTACATCTTGTGTTCCAAATTTCACAAAATGTAGGAAAATAAATATTAAACACATTTCCATTCCAGTACATTATATACAATTGACACACTGTATAATTTCATTTAGACAGTAACAGTTCCATCTCATCGCCTATCTCTAACAGATTTTACTGCGCTGATCAATGACATTTGGGTTTTAACGTCCATACCAAACTACAAACGGAACTGAGGTGGCGAGTTCATCATGATTAGAATTACGAGATTTTATTGCCAGGACTGCCGAAGATTACTTTGACCAACTTTGGTATTTCCAGACGAGCCTATGGACCTTGATGATCCTGCTCTAAGACTCCGCCACCTGCTGAAGACAGTTCCAGTTGGCATCAAAGATATAGATACAGACAAGGGGGAGCTCTACAGCCCGGCCTATGCCCAAGACATAATCGATTACCTGCAGGTCGGTCCGTGTTGCATCCAGGAACCTCCTGGTCCAGTCCTAGATAGCGGTATTTGCGGATACTATACAGTGGACGCTGGGTGGCTCGATACCAAAAGATGTTAAAAGGTGGTTGATGTTACCCTGGCTGGCCTGGCTTGACGCCGGCTTTCCACAACGCCCGAAAATATGCGTTGCGCATTGCCTCTTTCATCATACACTATCTGCAATCAGGAGTCCAGTCACACACACCTAATCTCCAGCACAGTCGGCGATCTAACCCAAACAGCCACAGCATATCGCAGACATTGTGTGCTGGAGATAAGGTGGTGTGTGGGTACGAATGGAACCTAACCCAAAACTACTAGAATCTGTACTTCAAATTTGAATTTCGAAGAATTTATTCCACTGCAAATGTTTATGAAAAGGCCATTGGAGTTGGTTAATGGGTTGACCAAAGGACTTATTACAATGATTGAACATGTTTGTTCCCTTATTTATCACTATCAGTATATGTTGGTCTGCAGGCGGTGGAAACTCGGTGGTCATTCCCGACGGACTTCTTGGAGGATCAGACTGAGGTGACGCCCAGCATGAGAGCTGTCCTGGTAGACTGGCTGATGCAGGTCCAGGTAATGTCGTTCATTCCAGGGAATGAAACAACAGATGTTGCTCTAGTACCTACCTGGTTTGACTGACCCAGAGTCGAGTCGTAACGGAATGCCGTGTGTTGCTGACAGCCTACGTGAAGCCAGCAGCCCTTGATGTCGTAACCTTGGTAGCCTACTTCTGGCAACAGCAACTGGCAGTTTGGTTTCAGATTTTCACTTCCTACCCCAAAGCAATTTGCAGTTAAGAAACCTGAAGTTTAGTTCAAATGTTGCTACATTCGAACTGTTTCTAGGGTTTGCAGCACCATAGCCGTGCTAGTGGATTGCACTGAAGTAGTAAAGGTCTGAGACCTGCGTTACTTCGGCCCTTCCTCCCACATTAAGCTGACCGATGTGAGTGAAATACTGTTCCCAGTGGCGTTACATCCAACTCTGTATTGCTGAATGTGGTGTTAAACAAGTACCATATATTGTGAATTTACTTCTCAAGAAGCCAGCCAGCTTGTCCAGTCAATGGTCACTTGTGTTCGGCTCGGGTTTTAATAACTTACTACATGGGTCTCCTTTATTGTTTTGATTAACAAGTTTACTTTGACGTTCAAACTGAACCCCTTACTGAATCATTTCCCTCTCCGCTAGTGTCATGAACGTCTCAGTGACGACACGCTGCACCTGACAGTCGCCCTCATCGACCGCTACATCTGCCACAAGGTTCCGGCAATACACGAGGTCCAGCTCCTCGGCATCACCTGTGTCTTGATAGCTGCCAAGTTCGTGGAGAGATTCCCACCTGAGGTAAGTTCTGTGTACAGACCAGAAACGTCTTCCAAAATGCAACAATAACCCTGAGCATATCATATATTTTGTAATGGCAGCTGGTATGTTTAGTTTCGGGAATTAGGTCCAAATTATGTTTGCAAGATTTTAAATTTCCACATTGTTTTGGTCTTGCTTTAAGGTATCTCGAACGTTTTTTCTCTGTAAATTGACATACTAACCCGGAAATTGAAGAGTCTGAAGTCCGGAATGTATACGAGCTGTGATGACATTCTTTGTTTGCATTGGTTTTAAAAATGTAACAGTTCAAAGAGCAGAATTTTTAAAATGTATGCCTGTGACAACATATGCAGGTGAACTATATTATCAGATTGTATCGGTTATCGTGGGTGTGAAGGGCCAGTACAGACTATGATGTTGACGGGTTTTGTTTGTTTGAGATATCAACCCTGTGCCACCTGACAGACAACACCTACACGGAGGATGAAGTGATCACCATGGAGATTCAGATCCTCAAGACGCTCAAGTTCGACCTCAATATTCCTAGCCCATTTGCCTTCCTGGACAGATTCCTGCAAGCTGAAGAAAATGATTCAAAGGTTTCCTCTTGCAATATATCCGACATAACCAATTATTCAGACTCCATTCCCATTCTATGACAAGATGTCCTGGACCACTTCACTTCCAAAGCTGTTTCGGGTCACATTCTAATGACACGATGCTATGAAATTTGCCAAATAAAATTGCTTCGTTGTTTGACAATTCGAATGATGTGGCCCAATTACATCACAGGGTTGTTAAATGGGGACCAATCGGGGGATCGTGCTGGCCAAAGTAGCACACAAACCTCGTTCTGATTAAGATACTGGTGTACAGTTGGCGTTATCGTGTAGTTTGGCGTTATCGTGTTGTAACGTAACTCCAGGGCCATTTGCTGCAAAACATCGGTTAACAACGTCTTTGTACCTCACGAGAGGTTGCCATTTTTCTTGAACATGTAGACCGTCTCCGTGGTGTAGTGGTTAGAGCGTGAAGGTCGCGGGTTCGATCCGCCGACCGCGTCATACCAAAAGACGTTAAAATATGGTACTTGTTGGTCCCTGCCTGGCGCTCGGCATTTATGGGTACAACAAGGACTGGTCGGCTCGGAGTCCGTATAATGTGTCTGAGTGGGGTATTCATGCTTCACTGCGGCATGGTATCTCAGTGGGCTAGCACTATAAAACCAAATTGGGCAGTACAAGCAGCCGCACATAACACATACACACGCATGCACGTCGTCATATGAGCGAAATATTCTCCAGCACGACGTTAAACCCAATTTCACCTCACCTCTTGAACATGTCTTCCTACTTGCAAAATTCATGCAAATCAAGCATATGTATGGTTGCGTTTCTCCGACCACTGCAACACTTTCTCTGTTTGACACATGTCATCGGTTCCCAATTGCGCAGATCGATGCTCATGCTGTTGATCACTGGATTGTCTGGTCCAGACTCCATTATTTACAGACCGCCGACCATATAGCTGGAATATTGCTGAGTGCGGAGTAAACCGAAACTCACTCACTCACTCAAATCCAAAACGCCATTCACAAAACAACCACTAACAACATTCCTTGTCACGACAACTTTTGCCTCACACCGTCAAAAAGCTGGAATGTTGTCAAAATCAGCTTGGAACAATCAAAACTTAACAAAGTTTGTAATCATGTTTCATGGGGTATGTCCTCTCCCCCAGGTTCCCCATCTATGCAGGTACCTTCTGGACTTGTCTCTGGTCAGTGCTGGTGCCGTCAGGTTCGTGCCGTCCATGCTGGCTGCCGGGGCGCTCTATCTCTCCAGGCGCATCTTCCGGTCTCTCATGGGACAAGTCTGGACCCCGAATCTCGCGTTTTACAGCAAGTATTCGGAAAACGACCTGGTGATGTGTGTTCGACACCTCGACAAGCTTCTGAACAAGGCGCCCACTGGGAACCACAAGGTGACCTCAATGGTTCATGTATATACATACATACTCGTATCTTTATTCCTCTACTCTGATGCTGGAGAAGAGTCTGTCTAGTCAACAAGTCTGTCTAGTCAAGATTCATCTATATTTGATTAATAAGGTTACTTTCCTTTCTTAACGTACACGTCAATGGTGAAACCTAAAATATTCAAAATAATTTATTTCTTTAAGTGGTCACTAAATAGTATACGTGTGTGGAGTTTTAAAGCTAAATGTTTGTGTAGCAGTAAGCAATGGTAGAAATGTTTACACTTCATGCCATTATGTGTTTGTTGAAAGCAGTTGTGGAAACTATTTTCTAAGTGCAATGTCAATTTGTTTCAGGCTGCTAGGAACAAGCACGCGAAATCTGACTACGGCTGCATCTCGTCCAACCCCCTGATATGCCAGTGATATCGACACGATGACCCTGCGACTCTGGACACCAAACATAGTGCTATCTTTTCAATTGTACAAATATTCCAATTATTGATTGATGGGTCGGAATGAGACGTCCCGACAACGCACGTTTAATGCATGCACAGAGCACATTTGACCATGAAATAGAGAAAAAAAAATCAACGCAACGACGAAAACCTACGCAGAAACGTTAAAAACAATTTGAGAGTTAGGACCATTTGTACAGTTTTGTGCGAATAAAAAGCATTTGTATATAATTGCATACGCATCAAATTATCCGTGTTGAGTCTTCATACACTCGGGGGCGGTGGGGTAGCCTTGTGGTTAAAGCGGTCGCTCGTCACTCCGAAGACCCGGGTTCGATTCCCCACATAGGTACAATGTGTGAAGCTCATTTTCTTCATGCAGGAAGGGCATTCCTACTAGATACACGAATCTGTATTGAAAGTTATACCACTAGGGTATGTTATGTCCATTGTACTGGCAGGTTGATTTTCTGTGTATCAACCTTCTATCTGCACGTGCAGAGGTTGATATGTGGATAACAACCTTGGCGGTGCAGGAAACGCACGTGCAACAAGCAATGTACGAGTCAATTCGGCGCCCACGTGGTATAAGTAGGTTAGCACCTCTGCGGGTGATATGGATTCAACGCTCTCGCCTCACGGCTCGAGCGTTGAAATCCATATCACCCTTGAGGAGGGTGCTAACGTATACTTATCAATTAAGTTTGTCTGTATAGTATACACTCCGTATTACAAGAGTACAACAATATTTGCTGTTGTACTGAAATGGTTATGACGAAAAATCATCTAACTGGAAATCAGTAAAGATGCAGTTTTACTTAAGTACCTTTCTAAACAGATTCCAGGATTTGAACCCCTTTATTGTTAACTTTGGAAACATTGTAAAATTGCCTTTTGCCTTGTAAATAGAATCATTTCATTCTTGCGGCCATTGTGAGAGATACAACAACAAAACTAGTATATGCGTTTTCGTGGCGAATATTGGAAAGTTGGAGGATTTATTCCGCTTTAACCTAAAATCGTAGATATCGGCCCCCTAGTTTCAGAAATCGTGCACCTGACCACAATATTAATATTGGTATCCAACATCTGGGTAGCACGATACACCCGTAATATACGCGTCTCCTATGCACGAGACGGTGTATTGGAGGGGTACAAAGCTAATGAAAACAGTTTAATGGATCCATTCCACCCGTTTTCAAATATGTCTTGCAAATGGGATTCCTATGGCTATGTCTGTCACTTCAAATACATTTCCGAATCAACATTAAATGAAGTTGACATGAATTCAGACTTTGAAGAACTTAGAATGGAAGTATTTCAAGTATCAATTTCCCTAACCCTAACCCTTTCAGTATTATACTCGTAAGGGGACAAAAAATCATGTAGATACATTTGGAAATAATTCTTCGGATGAGGAAGTGTTGCGCGAGTCGCAAAGCCTTGAAAGGGCATTTGTCCAAATGAATAGTTCAGCGGATGATTGGATGGTTTGGTTTGTTTAACGCCACACTCTGCAATATTCCAGCAAGATGGCGGCGGTCTGTAAAAAATTCAAGTGATCACCAGACAATCCAGTGATCGACAGTGATATGCCAGTTATTGGGGTTGAAAAAGCTGTCGACCATAAGGACCTGCAGAAAACAAGAGCTGTGGGTTCGAGTGGTTTTAGTCGGGGCCTAAGGACCGACGTTAATTTCGAACGCTGACCTCAATCGCAACCCCAACCTCCTCCAAGCGTAGGAACTATTATCTTGGGCTACATGCGTCATGTTGGTTCAAAGAAAAATATCCTTCAGATTATTTAAAGATTGATTTATTTTTGTACAAATCTTTGGTTCATTCCTGCAGCTGGTAAGGGAAAGGCGATAGTTGACAGGCGGACAGACAACACACCCAATCTTGAAAGGGTTCACATGAAACAAATGCTCTAGAATAGTTGGTATAAGCAATATTGACACAGTCCAGTAGTAAACATACATAACATAAACACATATGTCGACAGTGGAAATATGTGTGAAAGAGAAGGTGATATCTTCGGAAATATAACTGGACTTGTTCAATGTTCAACCAGGTTTTGTTACAATTAATCCTTATAACCATCATGAACACAACCTTTCACTAATCATCTCGTGTTGTTATCTAAGCGTACAATGATCAGATTTTTATTCTATAAAAATTAATTTGACAATTATGTTTCACTAATCATTTTTCTGGGTGCACGACGTGGTATTCCGTAAGAAAAGAGCACAATAATGTATTCTCAGCATCCGTCTATTAAAGCACAGCCAGGAACCTGTGCACACATTCTGCTACCCATGATCATGCCCGGATGGCGTAAACGGGGTCTCCCACCTGAACCCTGCCGCCCTGGTCAAGTGCCGAGCTGATCCCGAGAATGGGCGACCTCCCAAACCGCGGAACACAGCGGATCCTGCAACAAAGATGGTTTTCTGCCTGTTGTTTTACACCGTGAGCTCATATCCGTCTTAAAATCTAAGCTTGACCTGAATAATCATTGTACGAGAGTATCAAAATCGTTGAGTCTGCTGTATAGTGAGTGAGTGAGTTAAAATTTAAAGTCACATCGGCAGTATTTCAGTCATATCGTGACTATGAAAGTTGTAATTTTTTCTTATCCTGACTCATGATCTTTTGCTTATCTCCCTTTCCTTTTCGAATGGTAGTGGAACGAATCCCTTGAATAAACACACTTGAGTTACCTCCCTTTGTTCCCGCGAAGCAGGTGACCTGACTTGTATAAATACACTCAGTCCCACGAGTTACCTCCCTTTGCCCTTTCCTCAAAGGTGCGCAAAACAGTCAGGTGACTTTTACCAGTCTAGCACAGGCTAGCATGAGTGATTAAAGATCCTGTACGGGTAAAGATCTTACCTGTCTCGCAACTCATTTATGATAAAGATCTTATCATAACTATGGGTTGTGATGAGATATCCATGATACTAGTTTATCTTAGCCACATGAATCAACATGATTCAACTTGTGAAATAAGAAAAGAAAGTGGTCCCCCTTCATCACATGGGAAGTTGGACGTATCAAAGGGCCAATCTGTCGGATTCTCAAAAGATCATGAGTCATGGATAATTGTATAAGAATGACGAGAAGCCCTCAATTTTGAGACTTTCACAGCAGAAAGTGCATGGGCAGAAATTCATATTTTTTACTTGATAAGGGCACAAATACATTTAACGTCCGCTTCGGGAATCGATTTTACCACCAAAAGATCATATGATAAGCATATAAAAATATCTGATTTTACTTTAAAAATTACATAATTTGTGAATGTATAAATGTATAAACACAAACTTATTTACTTACCTGTCTGCAGGGGACAGTAAAATAACTAGTCTATCACAAATTTACACTTAAAACCAGCATAAAACCATAAAACAAAATTTTTATCTTTAACAATACAATATAAAATTGGGCTACAGGTCGCCAACAACTGGTAGATCACCACACTAGGGACCATGGGGATTTACAGTACCTTTGCTTCCTGCATGGACCTGTCTAGAATTATAACAGCTGCTAGCAATTGTACATAATGTTAGCCATTAACCTAAAAAGTACAAATATTCTACGATTAAAAACGGAGGAAGATATGAATCTTCTGTGATTGAAGTGGGCTGACATACCCTCTCAAGGAGATCTGCAGTATATGTTAAGGGTAAGGTATACATAAAGGAAACATGTTAAAGGGGTACGTTAAGTAGGACAGAGGGGGAACAACAAGGTTTAGCCTGGAAATAGTCTTCAAGGAGCCATATGAGATACTGTATCATTACATGGGGTCACCCTGTCTTTAACTCGTTGTAGCCACGATTTCCTAGGTGCTTGTATAAATCATGTATCGGGCTCCAGTGTCGAACTCTGGGAGATAAGCAATGATGTGCATTGTGTCGAATGTGCCTTATCGTAGGTTTTGTAAACTGATACGATAATATCATCTGTTTATGGTGGTGTAAACTGATACGATAATATCATCTGTTTATGGTGGTGTAAACTCACGTCTGTAGAAGGTCCAGAGGCTTCTTTTCCTTTATCCGTTTGCCGGTTTTGAAATCAATGTTTACTTTTATGCATCTGAAACATGAGATGCATTGTGTCCAGATTGTAAAAGATAAACACGGGACCACAACATTGAAACTTTAACATAAATATTTTTACTTAAATACTTACTTTAATTCAAGTAAGTGTGAGGGTTCAATTTTATTTTTGAACAAGATTTGTGTGAGTGAGCTCGGTTCGAATCTGCTTCATAAAGTATTATAACTTACCTCGGAGTACAGTACAGGGTTCGTAGAATGGCCTCGTTGCCGATCTTTACCGACTGCCACTCGTCCTGAAACATGACACGATGGCTGACGGTCATACCACACAGTGATGGACTGTCTGTCATTCTAGTAGGCATACCACAGTGAAGTCTGTATCAAAGTCACTCAGTCTATCATTCAAAGATGTCCGGTAGTAGGCATACCACACAGTGATGGACGTCTGTCGGTCTGTATCAAAGTCACTCAGTCTATCATTCAAAGATGTCCGGTAGTAGGCATACCACACAGTGATGGACGTCTGTCGGTCTGAATCAAAGTCACTCAGTCTATCATTCAAAGATGTCCGGTAGTAGGCATACCACACAGTGATGGACGTCTGTCGGTCTGTATCAAAGTCACTCAGTCTATCATTCAAAGATGTCCGGTAGTAGGCATACCACACAGTGATGGACGTCTGTCGGTCTGTATCAAAGTCACTCAGTCTATCATTCAAAGATGTCCGGTAGTAGGCATACCACACAGTGATTGACGTCTGTTGGTCTGTATCAAAGTCACTCAGTCTATCATTCAAAGATGTCCGGTAGTAGGCATACACACAGTGATGGACGTCTGTCGGTCTGTATCAAAGTCACTCAGTCTATCATTCAAAGATGTCCGGCAGTAGGCATACCACACAGTGATGGACGTCTGTTGGTCTGTATCAAAGTCACTCAGTCTATCATTCAAAGATGTCCGGCAGTAGGCATACCACACAGTGATGGACGTCTGTTGGTCTGTATCAAAGTCACTCAGTCTATCATTCAAAGATGTCCGGTAGTAGGCATACCACACAGTGATGGACGTCTGTTGGTCTGTATCAAAGTCACTCAGTCTATCATTCAAAGATGTCCGGTAGTAGGCATACCACACAGTGATGGACGTCTGTTGGTCTGTATCAAAGTCACTCAGTCTATCATTCAAAGATGTCCGGTAGTAGGCATACCACACAGTGATGGACGTCTGTCGGTCTGTATCAAAGTCACTCAGTCTATCATTCAAAGATGTCCGGTAGTAGGCATACCACACAGTGATGGACGTCTGTCGGTCTGTATCAAAGTCACTCAGTCTATCATTCAAAGATGTCCGGTAGTAGGCATACCACACAGTGATGGACGTCTGTCGGTCTGTATCAAAGTCACTCAGTCTATCATTCCAAAGATGTCCGGTAGTAGGCATACCACACAGTGATGGACGTCTGTCGGTCTGTATCAAAGTCAATCAGTCTATCATTCAAAGGATGTCCGGTAGTAGGCATAGCACACAGTGATGGACGTCTGTCGGTCTGTATCAAAGTCACTCAGTCTATCATTCAAAGATGTCCGGTAGTAGGCATACCACACAGTGATGGACGTCTGTCGGTCTGTATCAAAGTCACTCAGTCTATCATTCAAAGATGTCCGGTAGTAGGCATACCACACAGTGATGGACGTCTGTTGGTCTGTATCAAAGTCACTCAGTCTATCATTCAAAGATGTCCGGTAGTAGGCATACCACACAGTGATGGACGTCTGTCGGTCTGTATCAAAGTCACTCAGTCTATCATTCAAAGATGTCCGGTAGTTGGCATACCACACAGTGATAGACGTTTGTTGGTCTGTATCAAAGTCACTCAGTCTATCATTCAAAGATGTCCGGTAGTAGGCATACCACACAGTGATGGACGTCTGTCGGTCTGTATCAAAGTCACTCAGTCTATCATTCAAAGATGTCCGGTAGTAGGCATACCACACAGTGATGGACGTCTGTCGGTCTGTATCAAAGTCACTCAGTCTATCATTCAAAGATGTCCGGTAGTAGGCATACCACACAGTGATTGACGTCTGTTGGTCTGTATCAAAGTCACTCAGTCTATCATTCAAAGATGTCCGGTAGTAGGCATACCACACAGTGATGGACGTCTGTCGGTCTGTATCAAAGTCACTCAGTCTATCATTCAAAGATGTCCGGTAGTAGGCATACCACACAGTGATGGACGTCTGTCGGTCTGTATCAAAGTCACTCAGTCTATCATTCAAAGATGTCCGGTAGTAGGCATACCACACAGTGATGGACGTCTGTCGGTCTGTATCAAAGTCACTCAGTCTATCATTCAAAGATGTCCGGTAGTAGGCATACCACACAGTGATGGACGTCTGTTGGTCTGTATCAAAGTCACTCAGTCTATCATTCAAAGATGTCCGGTAGTAGGCATACCACACAGTGATGGACGTCTGTCGGTCTGTATCAAAGTCACTCAGTCTATCATTCAAAGATGTCCGGTAGTAGGCATACCACACAGTGATGGACGTCTGTTGGTCTGTATCAAAGTCACTCAGTCTATCATTCAAAGATGTCCGGTAGTAGGCATACCACACAGTGATGGACGTCTGTCGGTCTGTATCAAAGTCACTCAGTCTATCATTCAAAGATGTCCGGTAGTAGGCATACCACACAGTGATGGACGTCTGTCGGTCTGTATCAAAGTCACTCAGTCTATCATTCAAAGATGTCCGGTAGTAGGCATACCACACAGTGATGGACGTCTGTCGGTCTGTATCAAAGTCACTCAGTCTATCATTCAAAGATGTCCGGTAGTAGGCATACCACACAGTGATGGACGTCTGTCGGTCTGTATCAAAGTCACTCAGTCTATCATTCAAAGATGTCCGGTAGTAGGCATACCACACAGTGATGGACGTCTGTCGGTCTGTATCAAAGTCACTCAGTCTATCATTCAAAGATGTCCGGTAGTAGGCATACCACACAGTGATGGACGTCTGTCGGTCTGTATCAAAGTCACTCAGTCTATCATTCAAAGATGTCCGGTAGTAGGCATACCACACAGTGATGGACGTCTGTCGGTCTGTATCAAAGTCACTCAGTCTATCATTCAAAGATGTCCGGTAGTAGGCATACCACACAGTGATGGACGTCTGTCGGTCTGTATCAAAGTCACTCTGTCTATCATTCAAAGATGTCCGGTAGTAGGCATACCACACAGTGATGGACGTCTGTTGGTCTGTATCAAAGTCACTCAGTCTATCATTCAAAGATGTCCGGTAGTAGGCATACCACACAGTGATGGACGTCTGTTGGTCTGTATCAAAGTCACTCAGTCTATCATTCAAAGATGTCCGGTAGTAGGCATACCACACAGTGATTGGACGTATGTTGGTCTGTATCAAAGTCACTCAGTCTATCATTCAAAGATGTCCGGTAGTAGGCATACCACACAGTGATGGACGTCTGTTGGTCTGTATCAAAGTCACTCAGTCTATCATTCAAAGATGTCCGGTAGTAGGCATACCACACAGTGATGGACGTCTGTTGGTCTGTATCAAAGTCACTCTGTCTATCATTCAAAGATGTCCGGTAGTAGGCATACCACACAGTGATGGACGTCTGTTGGTCTGTATCAAAGTCACTCAGTCTATCATTCAAAGATGTCCGGTAGTAGGCATACCACACAGTGATGGACGTCTGTTGGTCTGTATCAAAGTCACTCAGTCTATCATTCAAAGATGTCCGGTAGTAGGCATACCACACAGTGATGGACGTCTGTCGGTCTGTATCAAAGTCACTCTGTCTATCATTCAAAGATGTCCGGTAGTAGGCATACCACACAGTGATGGACGTCTGTTGGTCTGTATCAAAGTCACTCAGTCTATCATTCAAAGATGTCCGGTAGTAGGCATACCACACAGTGGTGGACGTCTGTCGGTCTGTATCAAAGTCACTCAGTCTATCATTCAAAGATGTCCGGTAGTCAGTAATTAAAGTATAAAGCCCTTTCTAGGATGTTTGCAGGTATGTTTTAAAACTACTTCACTATTTTCAAGAATATGACGATGTCAACCTATATGACTTAAAAGTGTCAAGAAAGAGGATCACTTTCACTTCCCCCTTAGGGACGATGTCATAGGTGTGCCAGGAACCTGTAATTTTGCTATCGATGTTTCCATCTGCAAGAGCCAGGGTAGATACGACACACTGAAACTCTGAGCTTACTTCGTCGTATGGTCTGCTTCCCTTCACTACAATGGTTGGTCTGAAGTGGTCGAGGGAAATGGGCTGCTGCAGCTGCTGGTTCACAGCGTCCTGGGACGTCTCCGACATCAGCAGGTAGGCGCAGAAGTCGCTGTACGCGGCCTGACAACAGCACGGAATTACATCGTAGTACAGTGTGACACTTACCCAACATCGTTAGTAGGGTCTTCTGTAGTGGAAACAGCTAGATCAGCTGACTGTAGGTATATATACTTACGATATCAGTGCCAGATTATATTTGCTTGTTCGTTTGATCGGTGTTTCATTATACAATATTCATTAAACATCTTATACCATACCCATACCAATGAACAATGTCAATAGCGAATGTGATCAACATTTGCTTTGATTCAGGGTTTACAGCGGTGGCGCATTGAGGGCACACGCCAATTGAAACCAGTTTAATGGATGTTGTTAATACTGACAACCCTCGATTGGCCAGTTAACGTGGTTAGTTCTGATCCTGTTGTTGGCGTCGTTCCTTCTCACTCAAGACATGGATCTCAAGACATGATCTTGACCTACAGCCCGTTTTGGCAGAGGTACCATGTGGGCAAGCATGCTCCCGTAACCGGACATTACCTCTCTGTATTTGGACAAAGGGTAGAACATCATGTCGTACAAACAAACACCTATCAAACTGCCATTGGCAACGGTGACTTGCCTTCTCCAATCAGTTGTTATGCCAATCATTATACACCCTAAACCGACGACGTTGGGTAACATAGCGTCACTAAAATATCTCCTTGACGCATAAAGACTCCTGAGCTGTCCAGGTCTTGACACCAAAGCTGTCCAGTTCTTACATGGACTCCCCGACAAACAACATACTGTCCCCATCTTGAACCTCAGATGTTGTTTAACACCAAGCAGGGCGTGTCTGACGGGAATTTCAGGCCAAACTTGCCTGATCACTGAACGTCAGGGCCGAATGTTGTGCCACCTACACCGGGGCCGTACGGCACACGTGGTCTCGAATAAGGATTTGTCCGAGGTGTTAATGTGACAGTTTGGTATCGATTCCTTGGATGCACAAAGCAACTGATTGTGTTCTTGTCCTGCTTCAGATAACGCCTCACATATACAACATATATTGTTTCGATGAACATATATTTCCATTGCGGCGTTCGTGTTGGAAGCATACCCATGACATTAGATAAGCGTTATTTACAGTGAAACTTTATCAGTATCTGCTAGCTAAACACTCACTGTTAAATAGGGCAAACAACATATGTCATGTTATCCACTACCAACATGTCATCCCAACGTCACCTGTTATCCACCGCCCACACGATATCACCCAGTCCCCTGTTATCCACCATCCACATGACATCACCCAGTCCCCTGTTATCCACCACCCACATGACATCACCCAGTCCCCTGTTATCTACCACCCACACGATATCACCCAGTCCCCTGTTATCCACCACCCACATGACATCACCCAGTCCCCTGTTATCCACCACCCACATGACATCGCCCAGTCCTGTTATCCACCACCCACATGATATCGCCCAGTCCCCTGTTATCCACCACCAACACGACATCACCCAGTCCCCTGTTATCCACCACCCACACGACATCACCCAGTCCCCTGTTATCCACCACCCACGACATCACCCAGTCCCTGTTATCCACCACCCACATGACATCACCCAGTTCCCTGTTATCTACCACACACGACATCAACCAGTCCCCTGTTATCCACCACCCACATGATATCACCCAGTCCCCTGTTATCTACCGCACACATGATATCACCCAGTCACCTGTTATCTACCACCCACATGATATCACCCAGTCCCCTGTTATCCACCACCCACACGACATCACCCAGTCCCCTGTTATCCACCACCCACATGACATCACCCAGTCCCTGTTATCCACCACCCACATGACATCACCCAGTCCCTGTTATCCACCACCCACATGACATCACCAAGTCCCTGTTATCCACCACACACGACATCACCCAGTCCCCTGTTATCCACCACCCACACGATATCACCCAGTCACCTGTAATCCACCACCCACATGACATCACCCAGTCCCCTGTTATCCACCACCCACACGACATCACCCAGTCCCTTGTTATCCACCAACCCACATGACATCACCCAGTCCCCTGTTATCCACCAGCCCACACGTTCGTGCATCACCCAGTTCGAATCCCCCTGTTATCCACTGTGAACTGGAACATGACATCACCCAGTCCCCTGTTATCCACCACCCACCTGGTCGCCAGCTATAGCTATCCACCACCCACCCAGGGTTTCTTCTCCTGTGTGATGTCGCCTCTTCCGAAACCCCAGGGGGCTGAGTGATGTCCCTCTTTTTGAAGGAGCAGCCTGACCCCGTCCCTGGCCAGGTACTTGCTGAACCAGCTGGCTGCCTGGTCCCCACAGTCCCCACAGTCAGACCCTCGAGCGTGGCCTGGTTTTGCCGCTGCTGTAACAGAAAGTTAAACATGTACATTTCAATTTTCGGCGTGACAGGCCAACGCCTTAAACGTAACTAACTAATGTAGCACACCGAATATTGGGAAGGTTGACGTCACATCCTGTTTGTGTCAAGTTTGTCACGTTGTATCAGTGGGTTCTATTTTATTTTAAAAAGCGTTTGTGGTAGGTGCATATTTCCTGTACTAGAACAAGGTGTGTAATACAACCTATAACCATATCCATAACACCAGTACTACGTGGAAGACAATGGTTGCCGCACTGAGTCTTTCAGATGGTCTTGGGATCGAATCTGAAGGTTGACATAAGGACGCTTATCTGTCATCAGTGTTGGTCGGCTTCATCAATGTAAATGTCACCCCTTCAGCAACAGTGGACCACCCCACCCACCATCCCACCCGCCACCCCACCTACCCCAATACCCACCCGTAACCGTGATACGTGTGTACCAACTCTTCAACGGTCGTACCTGCTGACAACATTGACAACTTTGCTGCTATCGACGACTGGCGACGTGGACAACGTGAGAGTCGGCATGTCCGGAGCGTCGACGATCAGCTGTCCATCCCTACACGCGGTGCTGACCAGGGCCAGAGTGGGCATCTGGCTGGAGGACAGCATGTTGTAGCTGGCGTCAGTCACCACCCAGTGTCTGGAATGAGACGCAGAGTCCGCTAAAACACAGGGACACTACCTACCTGGTGGAGGCAGAACGCTAATGTGTCCCTCACAGTAACTGGTAATTACACCTGATACAACAGCTGGAGAACAGTACCCACGTTCTCCTATCTCACACAGGTTACCTGGCACTGTCCCGGCTTATTGTCCCTACCAATACTGACCGGCCCCTATACAGCAACAAATACCACTGTTGGAAAGAGAGCACGCCTACATTGTCCTAGTCTCTCTCACAGTCCCTGAACCACATTATTTTCCCTACAGCCTAGCCTTCCCTGTAGTGCTAAAGTCCTAAACGAAGCAAGTCTAGATTTCCCCAGGTTCTGAATCTCTGGTCTCCCTAGGGCTCCTTTTCAATTTAAATGGGCTTGTTTGTTACTATCAAAATTATATATATTCAGAGACTAAGCCTTTGTCTAACATTGTCCCTACCAGATTATTTAAGGACACGTTGGTCAAAACCAGCCCGTTGATACACGATACAGCATCTATATTTTCATATGTGAAATGTGCAGTAATTTTTAGATATTTTTTAATGATTAACATAATTTATAATGTGTAAAGTTATGTCTAGGTAACATATGGGACACGTGGAGACACCTTGTCGTGTTGTCTTACTACGGACATGAACTATATGGCGGCCCCAGAAGAGTGAGTGAGGTAGGACAATCCGGTTAGCTGCACATGTCGAACAAGCTGTATCAGTCCAGTAGGGATACACACATACGGCTTCCGTTCCACTACTGCACACTATATAATACGTATCGCACCATTCCTAAAATGCTGGTGTCATCGCGCAACTTGCAATATGGGTCACATCCCAGGAATGAAGAAGGATTTTACGAACGCTTTATCAAACGTTTCCCTGAAACCAGTATACCTGTATCTCTGTTCCTTACACCCATATACATATTACAGTTCCTCCACTGTTTACATTAAATGCAATCTAGAACGGACAACTTCGTAGAATTCGATCACCTTTAAATATCCATTACCTTTAATGTAAATTATACATTACCTAAATTTGCTAAGCATATACATAAATATTGTTCCTAAGCCAACCCCTATTGTTTCCGTGGTGCTGCTATTCCTATACAGCAAACATACATGGTAACATCTGTAGAGGTAGATACACCTTACAGTAATATATGATCTTCAGCATATATATCCGAGGTACATTAATCAAACATGTGATGAAGATTGATTCCTCTGAGACTGTAGTGAAAATGATATTTTGCTGAAACTGTCTTCCAAACAGGCCCACGTTCACGTGGCCTCATTCATAACGCTTCCCTCACCTGTCTATAACACTGCCTGCAACCTGAAGACCCAGATTCGTGCAGTATCCGCTCTCCACTGTGAAACCTCTGCAGGACTTGATCGGGTAGCATGTTAAACTTGCCACCTCCCCCACCAACTCATATTCTCTCCTCCTTGAACCCACGATCGCTGACAATATGTATTTGATCACCACCCCTCCTGCCAGAGTCAGGAAGACAGCGGCTGGTTCTATGTCCACGCCCGCCATGTTGGGAGTGGGGTCTATTTGTTTGGTGTGGCCTACATATGCTACTCCTGCATCACTTCCCCTGGGTTGTGGGTTACTATGTCACAGTACATGTGACGATTCTGGTTTAATATAAATATGATTTATGAAACTCACAGAGATATGGGAGAGATACGTTGGATCCGTGACATCAGGAAACGTGGTGTGTTGTTATGTAATGAGATCTGTATCTGTCAAATGGTGTACTGCCCGTCAGGTTTCTATATGTAATGAGATCTCTATCTAGGAAATGGTGTACTGCCCGTCAGGTTTCTATATGAAATCGGCGTGACTGCTGATAATCAGTAATGTTAACAGAAATCGTAAATCAAACCCAATCTGAAATATACGGTGACAACATGAAATAGATAAAGGCTACATTAGGATAAACAACACGTGTCTCGCACCTGTCACTGGACATTCCGCCGCCGGTATACAAGTAGTTGTAACTGTTCTGTAAGAAGTCTGTAGTCACACTGGGGTTTTATGGGTACTGGTATATTGCTTTTCAAGACTTGTATCCAATTGTTTGTTTTTTCCGTTTTGGTATATATGTTTAACACCATACAAAAAACCCAAAATTTCGTATATGTGTTAGAAGATTTGTCACATTAAACAGAGAGACACCCTGAATAACCTACCGCTCATATTCCGCGGGATTACACCGGTGTGGATGAACACATGGGGGGTTGTTTAAAATAGATAACAGTGGAACTAATGAAACAAATACTGCATTCGAAAGGTATTTTGTTTCTGCTAAACGCGTTAACCTAACATTCTGAATAACTTCAGTCGATACGGTACGTGTGAGAGTCTTGTTAGGTCAGAGGGAACACTTTGGCTGTAGCGAACTGTCTAGAAAATGTATGCAATTTTATCTTGTCTTCAACCTTGTCTGTAACAAAAATCCGTAAAACATGTTAGAGAGATAGTCACAACCATGAGCTGGAGACACTGAAACAGTCTGTACGGGCGGGATGGTGCCTGACCTTCACCTTGCCTGCAGACCGCGGCCTCAAAAACAATGTGTTATTCTGTATGTGTCTGTACAGCTGCCGTTTATGGAAGCTTAGCAGTGCCACAGTCTAAACAATTTCATTATCTATGCTGTTGATACTTACATCTACGCATTCGATACTTACTTCTACACAGTTGATACTTACATCTAAGCACTTGATACTTACTTGTAAATACTTGATAATTACTTCTAAGTAGTTGATACTTACATCTAACCACTTGATACTTACTTGTAAATAGTTGATAATTACTTCTAAGTAGTTGATACTTACATCTAAGCACTTGATACTTACTTGTAAATAGTTGATAATTACTTCTACGTAGTTGATACTTACATCTAAGCACTTGATACTTACTTGTAAATAGTTGATAATTACTTCTAAGTAGTTGATACTTACATCTAACCACTTGATACTTACTTGTAAATAGTTGATAATTACTTCTAAGTAGTTGATACTTACATCTAACCACTTGATACTTACTTGTAAATAGTTGATAATTACTTCTAAGTAGTTGATACTTACATCTAACCACTTGATACTTACTTGTAAATAGTTGATAATTACTTCTAAGTAGTTGATACTTACATCTAACCACTTGATACTTACTTGTAAATAGTTGATAATTACTTCTACGTAGTTGATACTTACATCTAAGCACTTGATACTTACTTGTAAATAGTTGATAATTACTTCTAAGTAGTTGATACTTACATCTAACCACTTGATACTTACTTGTAAATAGTTGATAATTACTTCTAAGTAGTTGATACTTACATCTAACCACTTGATACTTACTTGTAAATAGTTGATAATTACTTCTAAGTAGTTGATACTTACATCTAACCACTTGATACTTACTTGTAAATAGTTGATAATTACTTCTACGTAGTTGATACTTACATCTAAGCACTTGATACTTACTTGTAAATAGTTGATAATTACTTCTAAGTAGTTGATACTTACATCTAACCACTTGATACTTACTTGTAAATAGTTGATAATTACTTCTAAGTAATTGATACTTACATCTAACCACTTGATACTTACTTGTAAATAGTTGATAATTACTTCTAAATAGTTGATACTTACATCTAAGCACTTGATACTTACTTGTAAATAGTTGATAATTACTTCTAAGTAGTTGATACTTACATCTAAGCACTTGATACTTACTTGTAAATAGTTGATAATTACTTCTACGTAGTTGATACTTACATCTAAGCACTTGATACTTACTTGTAAATAGTTGATAATTACTTCTAAGTAGTTGATACTTTCACATCTAAGCACTTGATACTTACTTGTAAATAGTTGATAATTACTTCTAAGTAGTTGATACTTACATCTAACCACTTGATACTTACTTGTAAATAGTTGATAATTACTTCTAAGTAGTTGATACTTACATCTAACCACTTGATACTTACTTGTAAATAGTTGATAATTACTTCTAAGTAGTTGATACTTACATCTAACCACTTGATACTTACTTGTAAATAGTTGATAATTACTTCTAAGTAGTTGGTACTTACATCTAACCACTTGATACTTACTTGTAAATAGTTGATAATTACTTCTAAGTAGTTGATACTTACATCTAACCACTTGATACTTACTTGTAAATAGTTGATAATTACTTCTAAATAGTTGATACTTACATCTAACCACTTGATACTTACTTGTAAATAGTTGATAATTACTTCTACGTAGTTGATACTTACATCTAAGCACTTGATACTTACTTGTAAATAGTTGATAATTACTTCTAAGTAGTTGATACTTACATCTAACCACTTGATACTTACTTGTAAATAGTTGATAATTACTTCTAAGTAGTTGATACTTACATCTAACCACTTGATACTTACTTGTAAATAGTTGATAATTACTTCTAAGTAGTTGATACTTACATCTAACCACTTGATACTTACTTGTAAATAGTTGATAATTACTTCTAAATAGTTGATACTAACATCTAACCACTTGATACTTACTTGTAAATAGTTGATAATTACTTCTACGTAGTTGATACTTACATCTAAGCACTTGATACTTACTTGTAAATAGTTGATAATTACTTGTAAGTAGTTGATACTTACATCTAAGCACTTGATACTTACTTGTAAATAGTTGATAATTACTTCTAAGTAGTTGATACTTACATCTAACCACTTGATACTTACTTGTAAATAGTTGATAATTACTTCTAAGTAGTTGATACTTACATCTAACCACTTGATACTTACATCTAAATAGTTGATGCCTACAACTGAATAGTGTATACTTACACAACTCTCAAACCGGGAACAGCCCCTTGTATTGACCACGTCTGCAATGAACACATCCTCTGTGGTGGTGATACATTAGTCTCCTGTTAATTAGTCCGATTCTACAACGCTTTCATCGAACTGAAACATGTGCCCAGACTTCTCAAACGTGGGTTAGTTCAAGGGAAACGGACTGACCCAAACAGCTACTCATGGATCTACAAACTCTTTGAACGAGTATTACTTGGTAGAGTCCGTGAGAAATTAACTCCCTCACCCTTACAGCATGGCTTCCAGAAAGGTGTAGACTCAACCATGACGGCCGCCCTTCTCAAGGAGTGTATCTTTTACAGTACGGAAGAAAACAGTAAACTGTTTGTTTGCTTCCTTGATGCAGAGAAAGCCTTTGATTGTGTCTGGCATTCAGGTTTTTCCTACAAATTATGAAAGCTCGGTATCAAGAACTCTTATGTACAGACGATCTCATCCTTGTATAGTGGAATGGACAGCTGTGTTTTATATCAAGGCTATCTCAGTAAATGGTTCTGCAACAGACAAGGTACGCAACAAGAAGTCGTGTTATATCCATGGATCTACACAGTCTTCATCAACGATCTGCTCATTCAGCTCAAAGATTCGGGATATGGCCTATCACTACATGGCATATCCTGGTATACACAGACTGACGACATTACACTCCTATCAGTAACTAGGAATGGCCTACAGGCTCTCATGGATATCTGCTACGCATACAGCTGCAAGTGGAGGTTCAAGTTTAGCGCCAAGAAAAGTACTGTTGTCGTTTTCAACGAGAACGTGAAGTCATACGAACACTCAGAGCGCACACGGTCTCTTGGTGCTCCGGATGTCAAGGAAGACAGCAGCTATACGCATTTGGGAATCAAGGTCAACAAGACATCCGACACCACACAGCAGATCAACGATATCTGCAGAAACCTAAAGCAACATATTTTAGCACAACAAACATTGGAGCCTTTGATGGTGAAATGCATCCTTTAACCTCTGCTATTGTGTATAAATCTGTTGTTCTCCAACGTGGCCTCTACGGATCTGAGTCTGTACAACCTCTCCCGGCAACACACACTCCAGCTAGAAAACGCACACAGATTTTGTCTGAAGCTGATTCAAGGACTGATGTTGTTTTGTCCACGATTGGAATCCTATCCATCCCTAACAGACAATAATGACCATGAACGTCATGAACATTTTACTTATGGCAATGACGCTCTCCCGTATTATCACTTGGAACGTTAGGGGTGCCGCTACGTGTCTAGACGAAATCAACACCAAACTAGACTGCACAGATGTGATGTTTATCAGTGAACATTGGCTACACACAGATCAGCTATCCCTCCTTACAGATCTACATACAGACTTCGATGTGTATGTTAAGTGTCAGACTGATCACTCCTCACTCAGAGGAGCAGGAGGAGTCGCTATGTTTGTACGGAAAAGCGATAGTTACTCCACCTCTAGTCTGCACATCCCGGAGAGTGATCATGTGATTGGTGTGCAGCTAATTACGGATAAGACTCCGATCCACATCATAGGTGCACGTCTTCCATCTACTAATGTCTTGGACAGTGTATACAGTGAAGAAATGAATACCCTCTTTGAGGCATATGACAGACATTCCTATAACGGTGAGACTGTCCTGGTCGGTGACTTTAACACAGATCTACGTGACT